TTTAATGTCAGAGGGGATCCTCATAAAAATTTCAAGTCAATTGGAGTTAATTTGACTACTCAAGTGAATTAATTAAGTGAAATGACCTTAAGTGAAATGACATTTTTGGCATTAAAATAATTATAATGATTAAAATATAACTCAAAAAATCACCAAATTGGTTTTGAGAGCTCCTTATGACTAGAGAATCCTGAGAAAAATAATATTAGAATTAAAACAAATACTTCATTTTTTAGCTATTTTTGAGCATTTAAATAATTAAAAAATTAATTAAAAATCATAATAATTGTAAATTTATGAAAACACACTAAAATGTCAAATTTGGCTTCCTAATCACTTGAAACTAATTAAAACAATTTTCCTAATTTTCTAAGTCAAAATATTAATTTTTAAAGGCTTAAAATGAATTTTCTTTAATTTCCACTAAAATAATTCTAATAATTAAAATATAAATAAAAAAATATGACTTTTTTTTATTTGGGTTCCCTAGATCCATTGAAATTTAATAAAATATAAAACTTAATTTTCTATTTAAATAATAATTTATATTTAATTAATACTCAAAATAAACAAATAATTTTAATAATTAAATTAAACCTCTAAAAATCATGAAAGTTTGTCTAAGTGGTCCTCTAATCTAAGTGAACCTCCAATAATTTTCTTAATAACAGAGGTTTTGTTTTAATTAAGTTATTAAATTTTCATTGAAAATCCTTATTTTTGCATTAAAAATAATTATAAAATTAAATAAATTCAGAAAAATCACATTTTCTCATCTGATATTTTAATTAACCCATAAGTGAGGTAACATAAAATTTTCAAGTCATTTGAGTCTAATTTAATGAATTATGAGGTATTAAGGTCTTAGGGGCAAAAGGGTAATTTTGGAATTTAAGACTTAATTAATATTTAGGCTTAACCAAAGAGCTAAATGGGCAATAAATAATCTTAATTGGTATATTTTGATGACTGAAATATGGAAGAGATAAATGGTAGTAACTAATATCATTCTAAATGACAAATTTGTAATTTTTTAAAATTAATAAATTTAGAAGAATATTTAAATAAAAAGATACTAAGGTAAGGGGCTTGATTTTGGAAGATCACAACTCACTGATTTTAAGCTCCAACCAATGGTTTTGAGATGATTTATAATTCATGATAATGATTAAGAATATAAATATAAATATTGAAAAAAAAAATTTCTTGAAATTGTAAATTTACCCGTTAAATCTTAAGGGCCTCGTACCTGTGAAGAAAAACCAAAGCTACGAGGATAGCCACAAAACAAAAACCAAAACCAAAACAAAAATCAACCAAGAAAAAACCCCCCGCCACAATATTCAAAATATAAGACAACTCAAAATTTAATCACAAATATCACAAAACAAAAATTGTAACTAAATTAAAACATCTCTATCGGATGATCGGGAATCCCTCGGAGGAGGTAACCTACAATTGCTAACGAGATTTTTCATGGTATAAATGAAAGTATGGAACTCATTGAGTTGAGTTTAGTAAATTCATTTGGACTAAGTGAATCCGAAAGAAAATAGTGGTGCAAGAACGAGGGAACCGTGGGATCCTAACCGGTGTCGCTCTAACAGCTTTAACATTCCCCATAATATTTAAAATAATCATAACCTTAGGAAACAATTGATTTGACACCATAACTTGACACATTAAAAAACTTAAACTCACCACAACGAGGAGCTTGGAGCTAGCATCGTGGGCAACTCGACCATGTTCAACAACAAGAGGATCTACAACAACATACAATTCCTTAGAATTAAATAGCAATCCACAGGACTTTGAGGTTGTTTGCTTATGCAACATAAATCCTCAACTTATCTTTAGGCCTTTGTATTATTTTGCCATATAATTTAAGTCCTAACCAGTCTTAGGATTCCGAGGTTATCGTTCGTTACGATCTAAACCTTCACATCTTCCAGGTTATTTCTGTAATCGTTTCACACGAATGTAAACCCTAATTAATAAAATTGATAGTATGAAATACTTAAATATTTCTCCTCTAAATTGAAGCCAAACAGTAGAATAGTTTGGGAAGTCACTGAGGTTCTCCTCAAGAACTGTGACATCTCTTAGTTCTTCTTCCTTTGGATTCCAAAAATAAATTTTTCAAATTTGAGTTATTCACTTTCCACACCTCTTTGTCTGATCTCTTTGAAAAGTCCTATCATTTGAAATTCTTGAAGATAATATCCCATGATTTTTATCGAGAGTTTTCTTAGGTGACTTCAGTTATCTAAGATGTAATTAACTATAAAGGTTTGTCTTTATAGGAAATTTTTCGATAACCTAGCATAATATAAACCTTATTTATAAATTCATATTAAATAGGGAAACTTGTCGGCTTATAATAAAATGATTTCGTAGACCAAACAGATGTCATATATTTTTTAATTTTTTTGATCGAGCCTCACCCTCAAGTCTTGTGTTTATCTTTCGGGATATATACATAGCTTGAGGTGTAGTGCTCTTTCATCTAAACTTTGAAAGATATGAGATCCGTTTGATTTCATATTTTTTTAAACTTAAATATATATATATATAAATTAAATGTCTTTACGAAGCGGGCAAGGAGATTTCGATTCCGGCGACCGACAGCTTACAACGGGCAACTCCTCAACTTTTTAGTGCCGACACAACATTCCCAATGGGTTGTTGTAACTAAAGTCACAAATTTTAGAACTTTTTTTTGAATCTTACTATTCAAAGTAACAATTAAACACTGGTTTTAATTATGCAGGAGGAGTTTGAACAGCTTCGAGAGAGGCACTTGGTCCCTCAGCCCTAGGCTTCCGCCAGCAGCAGTGATAGTCATTATACCACTACATAGTCTGAGTCAGAGCTTAGGACTTAGGCATCAAGAAAGAAGAATGGGAGGATCTATGGCCTTCGTATGAAGGGCATGACCTTTGAGGCCAAGATCCCTCGTTGTTCAGTATTGAGTTCCCAGACACCTCACAGCCAGAATAGGACGCTCTTGCTAGGAAGGTAACTGTAATGAATGAAGAGCTCAACTAGTTAGTGAGCCGATATCAAAAGGCCAACATAGGGTCGATTATTCTATAGCGCACAAGCATATCGTCGGGGCAAGGGACCGATGACATCAGTAGAATAGGAGGAGGAGGAGGAGGGAGATGATGAATAGGAGTTACTTTTTATATTTTTTTAGCATTATTTTGAACATTTACTCAAGATTTTTTTGTTAATTTTAATGTTGTTATTTGGTACATTTGTGACATTATTTTACTTTTCATTAATGATATTTTTTTGAGTTATAATCTGCGCTAATTTGGTTGGATAAAATATTGTTATGATGTGAATTCTTTGTTGCGTGTAGGTTGTAGAAATGTAATTGTTCTTTTGTATATTTTTTTTTTCAGTTTAGCATATTTGCATATGATTTACTTCTACTTTATGCTCAATATTCCAATGCTCAAGTGACAATAATTTTCCACCGTCCTTTAATATTATATGTTGTAATCTGAGGATAATCTGACGTGCAAGTTTAACATCTAATTTTGTCGATAATGATTCAGATGCTTATGTAGCCTCTACGAAAATCTGACACTATCTCAAATACATTACAACAAATTATTTCGGCGCGACGATGAATCATTTCGACTCCAAAAAGATGAAAATTGCATTATTGGCCTCTAATTTACCTACAGAAAAAAAAGGTGCGTAACGATTCAAATTCGACAATAACCATTGAATATCATCATATTAGCCTTCGATTTAAGTCCACTATGTCATATGAAAATTTGCTCAATTTCTGTAGTGGATGAACCATTCGTGAAGGAGAATATCACATGCAAGGAGTAGATCTTCACCATCAGCTTTGATATAGAAAATGGGAACTCATTCGTGGGTAATGCCTTATTCAGATCCTATAAATAAACACAAGTGCAAATTTGGCCATTTTTTTAACTGATACAAGACTGGACAACAAAATTATATTTTTTTCTTCCTTATTAAAGCTAACATTGATCAATTTCTTGATCTTGATCTTAGTTATGACTTTTTATTAGACCTCTGGCCCCATTCTATAAGGAGGTTGGTTGATATGAAAGAAATCAAATTAAAACTTGCATTTATGGACTACCACATTAGTAGATAGACTCAAAAATTCATTGTAATTACATGTAAAAACGTAATTAAACTTCATAGGTAACCTAAAGTATTGATGTTGTTCACACTAAATAATGAACTTATGAAAGTGTGAAAAGGATTTTCATTGGTTCCTTAGTTAATTTCTTTTAATTTGTTAATTTTGGATTTGATTTATTCTTTAAGTTTAGAGGGTGCATCGTTAACTTAAAGAGCATGTAAATCATATGGGAGTTTAAAGAATTAATGATCATAAGCATTTTGTCCTGAGTTAGGAAGCCATCAAGTTTCGGTACTGACTGCTCCGCTATGAAAATTCCTTAACTAGTGAACCTACAATTGTATATGTAGATAGCGAACTTGGAGCTAAGTTTCTTACATACTGGTTCACTTTGTCAATAATAGATAACTTAGACATGCCCTTCTGTTGATCTTGGGCCATATCCTTATCACTATCCTCTTTTAGAGATATGCTAAGCTTGAGACTTGTTGCAATAGACTGTATTGAACCACCCACTATAATTGACTCATCCTTCGAGCTGGATTCCAAGTCAATTTGTATAGGTGTTTGGGTAGCCCTGAAAAAAGGCACATTGCTGGTAGCTTTGTACTACCCTCAAGCTCACTGACCCATTCTACTACCTCATTGTGAAGGAGAGGCAAAAGGCCTTTAAACTAGAAGTAGAGGTTAGAGTCGTCACTTAAACTTTCACTTTGATTTTGATTTTCCTCTTCTCTTGACTTTCCTTTTCTTTTTTTTTATTTTTATATTTATTTTTTCTTTTCTATTTCTTGATTTTCACTTTTCTTATTGTTTTCACTTATTTTTCATTTAAAGCCTTCTCATGGCTGCATAAAATTACTCTCTGGATCAATGTAGAAGACTGTAAACTTCTTGGGCGAATAATATGCCATGTTTTTGTTGATGTTGATATTATCAATGGAGAAAGGCTAGAGGTCTCCTTTGATGCATCAGTCAATCTCATCATGTCCATAATTAATACATTAATGGAGAGATAAAGGGATTATCCAATTTTCATGAACCCAAAGCCTATTGAGGAGGACATTGAAGGACACCTTCACATTTATGATGTGAAGCACGGTCTCAGTCTTCAATTCCCCTACTTTTAACTATTCATTCTTTAAATGAGAGGAAGAGCTGACTTTTATAACTTTACTTATATAGCAAACTATTTTGACTAAGTTCAACCGTGATTTTTCTCTATTAAAAAGCTTTAGGTCAAATATTTTTTGAACTTTTTTATTTGTGTCAAAAATCATTGTATAAGACTGAAACATAATTTTTTTCTTCATTGCTATGAATGTTTTAGCGCACAATACTTCTCTTGATGATAAAAGTTTCAATGGCACTTTGATGTTTTTTCTGAAGATGTAAAATCCATTAGTATTACAAAACATCACTTTGAAATATAATTTTTTTAATATTATTCTCATTACACCCGATGTCTATATAGCACACTTCATGTGCTATAATGTTATATATAAAATTGATCAAGATGAGAGGAAAAAGAGTATACATTAAGTTTTACAAGTACTAAAGATATAGAAATATATAAGGGCCAAAAAGGAAAAAAATACCTGATTTTTAGTGCTAATTGTATACAAGAAGAATAATATGCTTCTTAAGAATTTTTGCAAGATTAAACTACAAAATTAAAACACTGTGAGTCTCATTTTGAAAAATGGGCACTACAAAATTAAATGGTTAATATATACACACTTCTATCCAATTATTATAGTTCCAATAATTTGTACATTATTCAAATATGGTTGAAACAATTTTTAAAAAAGTCCATATTTGAGTCAAGTTCAAATATAATTTAAATAAGGTTCAAATAATATCCAAACATTATTTGAACATAATTCCAATATGGTTGGAATAAGATTTTATTTTGCTATCATCATCTTGTACTAAATTGACTCATTCGAGTTATTTTGTTACTTATGCAAAAGCTCACTTTAATCATATATGATCAAATTGTTTGAATTACGCTTGAAATATGTTTAAATGTAATTTATTTGAACTATATTTAAACTTCATCCAAATCATTTTTGAGCTTTGTTCAAGCTATTTTTGATTCATATTGAACGATGTTAAGACACGTTCAAACCATGAGTTCGACTTTGATTCAAACGTAGTTCAAACAATGCTTGAACGTAGTACAAAAAAAAATCGAATATGAATCAGATTAAATTAATTTTATTTGAGGCAAACTTGAAATAAATTGTAAGTAGTTAAAAGAGTAGAATTTTAATCTAGAATGGAAAATTTAATATATTTTTAAAAATAAATAGGAGATAAATTTAGCCAATTATGACTATTATGAAGCATATAGAGTCAAATGTTCAAAAATCAAATAGCTTAAGACTAAGGCCTATTTGAGAAGAATTTTGTTTTTAGTTTTTTGTTCTTATAAAAATATTTATATAGGACATTTTTCAAAGTTTTTCTTTATTTAAAAAATTAATTTATTTTTATATCTCTTAAAATATGGGAAATTATTCTGAGGGTTTTAAAAAAAAATTAATTTATTTTTAATATATTAAATACAGATTTTCAGCGATAACGGATATCGACTAAAAATCTGTGGTTCAAAGTCGAGTCTTCTCGTCTTTCTTTCCTGTTACATGCACACACTACACTCATACTTCTGAATCTCGCCCTAGAGGTTGAATGGAGCTTCTTCGAGCTTCGCCAGTGTCTCCTTTCCTCATATCTGAAGCTTCTCTGCTGAAAGGCTTCGAGCTTCGCCAGTGTCTCCTTTCCTCATATCTAAAGCTTCTCTGCTGAAAGGTCTCTCCTCTCTCTCTCTCTCTCTCTCTCTCTCTATCTGTATCTATATCTTTCTTCCCATTCCCTCTCAGTGTATGTTATGTATCAGGAACCATTTCGTCAAACAAATCTCTTTTCGCTTCGTCATCGGCTTATCGGATGCCAACCCCAGCTTCTTTGCGGATGCCGGTTTCCAGCTTATTTGTCTCGAAAACCTCCAGCTTGCAGGGTATTTCTCCCTCCTACTAGAATTATTTTATATGGATTATCTAAGTACGGGAAAACAAACCACCACTTCTCTTAACAGAAAAATTTTTGGGTTTTTTCATTTGCCAAACATATGATGAGCTGGATATAACATTTTCCCCATTGTCGACTATTGTTTCTTTAAAGCAAGTGAATTAGTGTAAATGCCGCATCTATTGATTAAATAAATTGAAGTTGATTGATGTTAATGATATTGCACGCGAAGAGATTTGATCAAGTGAGATGGGTGAAATTCCTTCTTTCTTGAATTTTAATGGTAGGAGCAAGCATTAGAACAACAACATCAAGAACAAGCCTTTATCCCACTAAGTAGGGTTGACTACATGAATCTTTTTTTTTATTGTGCCCTATTGAGTGTCATATTTTCATTAAATTTTAATAAATTAAATTTTTTTTTTATATATAACATGCCCAAGTCTTTTTAGGTCTACCTCTACCTTTCCTTACATAAGTCAAATCTAAAACATCTATTCTCTTAACTGGGTCATCAGATAGTCGACGTTTAATGTGACCAATCCATCTAAAGCAACTCTCTTTAATCTTATCTGCCACATGAGCTACCCCAATCATTTCATGGATATTTATTTTGCATTTTTTCTCTAAGTGTAAACCACTCATCCACCTAAGCATTCTCATCTCAACAACACTATGCTTAATTTTTTGCTTCTCTTTTACAGACCAACATTTTGTGGCATAAAGCATCACCATCTTATAATTTTTTTTTAATGTGGCATAAAGCATCACCATCTTATAATTTTTTTTAAATTTAAACGATACTTTTCTATCACACAATATGCCCAATGCATTCCTCCACTTCATCCATCCAACCTGAATTCTACTAATAAAATCCACATCTATATCACCATTACATTGAACAATAGGTCAAGATATCTAAGATATTCATTCACTGTAATGACTTGATGATCACCCATTATTACAACCCCGCCAATAGATCTATTACTTTTCAAAATTACATGCTATGTATTTAGTTTTAGATCTATTTAAATGAAAGCTTTTAGACTCTAAAGTTAATCTTACCCCCAAGAATGATATCATAAACAAAAAACATACACCAAGGTACATCCTCCTGCAAATGTACAATAAGAACATCCATAAATAAAACAAAAAGATATGGGCTTATTCGATCCTTGATGTAATCCAACTGAAAAAGGAAAATATTTTGTCAACCATCCTTGTGTATAAACACAAATAATAACAACTCTAGTATACATACCTTTAATGACTTAAATATAAGAAAAATCAACACTTTTTTGATGCCGGTGTTAACCCGAACTACAATAGAAATACAAATATTATTGTTGAAATTCAATAGGGTTACACACAATGATACTTGAAAAAAAACAACATAAACATAAAAGACAACTTAGGGCGATATTGAAGGTGGTGAATGGCGGCTGGACAACTGTTCGGTTTTGGATTGGGGGTTTCGGTAGTAGCCGGAAGGCTGTGAAGGAGTTGCAGTAGCAAGTTAGAGGCATGAGGGGGCTGCGATAGTAGGTAAGGGTGCTTGGACGGGTTGGCTGCAGCAGATTAGATTGCTGGGAGGTTAGCGACAACAGATTTGGGTGCAGGAGGGGCTGACAGTAGCAAATATGATGGTTAGAAGGTTGGAGACAACAGGGTGGGTGCAGGAGGGCTGGCAAATGTAGAGACAATAAAGGGAGACACACATGAGGGATGGCAACGAGCAAGGGATAGAGACAACAAGCAATAAGTGGAAGTGTACACACCACCTCAGAATGAGTTACAGCCAGAGCATCTTCTTGCCATTAGTACAACCCTAGAAATGGAAAAGGGATGTAAGAGGCTGTCCTAACAAAAATGTCAAAGAAAAAACTAACCCTAATCAACAAAATGAACATATTTATATTAGTAGATAGCTAGGAGGGGGAAGCTCCTCGCTTGGGTGGCAACCTTAGCCCACCCTCGAACCGTTCATCTCTTGCAGTAGCCTGTTGAACTTGGCAACCTCATGTTGAACCGGTTGGTTCATCCCCCTAGCCCTGCCTCGATCTCCCAAAGTTGGGAGAGCTTTGACTGCATTCGTTGAAGCTTCTATCTTGGGTGGCAAACCTGCTCACCCTTGGATTGCCGGGCTCTTGCATTAGCCCACTCAACCCGACGATTCAGCTCCGTAGCTCTGTCTTAATCTCCTAGGGTTGAAGGATCTTCGATTGCAGCCCTAGTAGCCCCTAAATTCCATTGTCTCCTAAAACACTAAAGGAGTTTTCTCTACTTGCGGGCATATATTCCTGTAGATACAACCTTTTGGGGGTACATCGTTGACCTGAACTAGGACTTTGTGTCACACATCATCTATTAAATCTGCTCAAGATTATCCAACTTTGGCTTGACCTAATCTAAACTGAGCGTAATCTAAACCTTCTTGAATTTTAGTGGCCATGGTGGTAAGCTATTAATCTTGGTGTCGTGAAATGCTCTCCGTCGTAACCGTCCCATATTTGGAATTGCTGTGTTAGTCTTATCATCCTTTGTCATCAACAAAATTGGTCCAACAGACATTGCTCTGATGACAAGGACACCTGTGATCTTGGGTTATGCATAAGGGACAATGATGATGCACTTCCTCTTCACAGTGAATGCTTAAATGTTTCTGAATCCGTTGTGCTGAGTCATACGGTCAAATTAACATGGTCTTCACAATAAAAGTTGGTAGAAATCCATGGATACCATGTCACACCACACGTGATACTGCAGTTGGCTCCCAATCAAAAAATTTGCTAGACAACTCTAATCAAGAGTAACCCTATTCTCCTTCTTCAATCACGTTAGAGAATATGAATGAGAATGCCTCTGAGTCATGAGACTCAAT